TTATGACTCTACCCTTAATTGGTTTAGTGGTGGACATGGTACTGTTAGATTAATGGTTGGACTTGATCATCTTAAAGGTCTTTTCCAAGCTAAATAATTCTATGATTCATCTCCTACCATGGCATGATGGTCCTTAAAGCCATTAATCACTGAACATGCAAACATGTTCCTCTCCAGATGCTGCAAGTGTGAATGTGGTTTCTTGTTTCTCACCTAGCTGCAGCCGTTGCCAGACATGGATCCAGCTTGTTCTGCTAAGACCACAGGATCAAGAGGAGTGTGTGTAGAGGAGGAGGAGGGGAACCATGGGATACACAGCTGTCTTAGGGAAAACCCAACAGCAATGTGCCGTCTTTCAAAAGAGGGTGTGCAGGAGAAAAGGAATCAATCCAATTACCTGGCAGTTGCTTTCATTTTTATCCTCAGCCTGCAGACATTCTTTAATTCCCCAGTGCCAGGTAAGTGAGACAAGATCACAAGGGTAAAACGGTGTTTTTCTGAGATGGTCCAGAATGAGTAGGCAAAAGGATTTGAACACACAGACCCTGACAAGCAACAGCTGGACACACCTGGCTTTCCTTTGCAAATCCTTCAGCCTCTCTCTCTTTCTATATGATACCCATAAGAAGCTCTTAAGACTATGAGACAAAATAAAACACAGAGCATGTCTATATAAAGGCATTCAGCAAGAAGTGCTGGAATTTATTCAAATTTTCATAATTACAATAGAGACCTCTGACTTTGAACTTGTAATTCACAACAGCAGTAAAAAAGGAAATGGTGAAATGGGTTGTATTAAAGTGCAATGATGTGGAGAAAACCATTGAAATAACACAAATGAGGCTGCGGTGAGAAATAAGAGGACAGTCTCATCCTAGCAATGACAGCAATATAGAAGTAAATTATGTTACAGATAATTTACAAAATAACTTACACATAGATGAAGATAAGCCAAATCTCATGTTGCCATTCCACTGTTAAATATCAGACTAAATATTCCCGGTCAGCCCAGTATTATATGGGATAATTAAAACAAGATCAGAGGCTTTCTGTGTTGGAAAAGATGACTGACGTAAAACCCTGATCAGCCTTTATATTGCAGTATTGCAAGAAACCTAAGTATTTATGAATTGTAAAGTGACACATCAGCAGCATGAAGATTATAAATACATCTTTTACATTGATACATTATATCTACACACATATACATATCTACACACACATATATACACACAAGCACATACATGCACATATATAAGTACATAAATATGTGTGTGTGTGTATATATATGTTTCAATTTGTACTGACCATAGTCAGCTGCATTTTGATTGCGTCTGGGGTAGGGTTGCTTTTGCAACTCAGGAGTAAGATTATTCTTTAGAGTATTTGTCCTTTACGTTTCCTATGCTGCAGCCTCTAAAATCTAAAATTCTGGCATAAAGACAGACTGCAGCGCCCAGCCATCAAAGGGTCTGATGGTTAACAGCAGTTCCCATTGCTTCTGAAAAATTACCCTCTTAATGTCCACATTATTTTTAAGTAACATGATACATGAATCAGTTAAAAACCTATTTTCATATAAGTAAAAATTTTTGAGATGGACAGGAATGAATACAATATTCCATACATGCACACAGTTCTGGACTGTTTGTAAGGATGAAGTGCAAAGAACATCTGACAAGGTGAAAATTTACAACATTGCTTACATCACACCTTGAAAAATGGCAAGTTTAGCCTACCCTTCTTTTAAAAAAAATTTAAAATACTTGTCTGTAGCATAAATCTGACTCTTCTCTAAGATTTTTCTTCTCCCGTGCTCCCCTTTTGTAGAAAAACTATGTTGTCGTGTTGTTCTCTTTGAATAAATCTGCAACAAACACTATTGACTAAAAATACGACTGGTTTCTAACCGTCATAGGTTTGTCTGAAGGAAGGCTCTTTACCCAGAGTGCAGCCACAATAGTTTCCTCTGCCTGTAACTGCATGTTAATTGTGAGAGCTGAAGGTAACCATGCAATTACTGTTTATTAAGAAATCATTTTGTGAATAAGAACATTGGTGTTTCATTGTGCCCGTGCGTAAGGAAAAAGATACTACTAAATTGCCAAGGCTATGTAAACACAGTGATCTTGGTAAAGAATTTGATTCTGGGGCCAAAATACCTCAGAAAACAGCTATTCCATTGCACACATCATTAAAAGGTTGGAAAGGATAAAATAATAGTTTCTTTTGATGCTGTTGTGGTCAGTGGATCGGTCATGTCTGCATTCCAGTCTCTAGGGAGCAGAAGAATATCCTGAAGATCCAAGAGAAGAGAAAAGGCTGGACCAAACCTCCTTCCTGGTTGCTGTATGAGTCCCATTCACTGCATTGACTGAGGTACGTCCTTGGAGAAAGGGGTTTTTGGGGAGGAGAAATTGTAAACTCAGATTTATTTTCTTCATACCTCTCCTGTACAGCCGTTGCTGTGTTACTAATTTACAATAAGGATTTAGCACTGAACACATTTTGTTTGCTTGCATTCAGATCCTGGCTGTTACAAAATGATCCAGTTCTGCAGAAACCTGATTGTATATCAATGAGAAATGTGTTTTATGCTAACAGCTCTGCAGCTTCAGACTTCAGAGCAGACCCTATTTCAAATCGTTTAACTTTTATTTACAACTTCACATTCCATGCACTTTTCATTAGGATCTTCTGGGAGAACCTGTAACAATGACCAGTGAAAATACTCAAAGCTCACAACAAACAGAGAACCACCAGTTCTGTGAGTCCAACATCCAGAACTCTGCACAAAATGCACAAAACTCCGGAGTTACCTTCCATGGAGGTGAGGTGAAAATTTAATGTTAGCCCTTAATGTCCGAGAAGCTGGTGCTGCTGGCATTGCAGCTATCACTGCAACTTGATGATGTGCTCAAAGTGCTGGAGGCAGTGCCTGATTCTGGGAAAGGGAAAGAAAAAAACCCACATGAAAATATGGTATGGTTGCTGTTTTTCACAACTTACTTTCATAACAGGAATCTTCAGAGGGACAATCATCTCATTTATAATAAATAGCCTACCAGAGCTGCTTAAAGATTGAGCTGATTTTGAATTGCCTATGAGCATCAGCAGATTGTTTGCTGGGATCCAACCTTCTCTACCAGTGCTCAGGTTCTTTACATACCTAAAATAATATAAAAATAAAAAGTCAAATTGCTTCGTTTCATGCCTTCGAAAGTTTTACCCTAAACATCTGCCTTCCAAACACACTTCTGCATATAAAAGTTTCCAAACAGAGATCTGCGTACCAAAGTCCATCCTCCCCTTCACGAATCAGTTGAACTAGATCTCCACTTTTCACTGTAAATTCTTCAGAAACTCCCTTCTCATAATCAGTCACAACTGTATATTTACCAGGAGTCTAAATGCACACAGAGGAAAAACAAACAAATTACTTCTTTTGAGTAATTTAAGGTATGTTGCAGCTTTTGTTAAGAACATTTTCGTACTTTTCCCTCCTTTCTCATGCACGTACATGCTGAAGACAGTGTAAATGTACATACTGAGAGGCAGTAAAAAACTTTCTGTTCAGTTAATGCAAATTCAGTACATGAATTCTCACACCCTGAAAAACATTCAGTGAAATGTTTTCCATTACAACAATTAATTCAAATATCTAAAAAAAAAATCACAAGAAAAAAAACCCCAAACCAAGCTGCCAAACTAGTGACACGATGTATATGTCAAAGTCTGTTAACATGGTAGCTGAGCATGTCATTGTTTGACTGCTGTACTATGTATGGCATAAGCAGTCACGGTCTCACTAGTCCGCGGCTACACAAAGGCCCAGACGGACCTTCCCAAAGTACAAACACAACACTGATTTAAGAGAAGGGGTTTTTTTCCATTCCCTAGGAATTTTGCCCAGCTGAGAATTTCAAGGCAGACACTTTCCTTCCTGCAAGCTTCGAAAGTATTCCTGTGTACTGCCACACACAACTTATCAGTAACATTTGCTTAGCTCAACACAAAAGCATTTCTGGTTACCAGCTTCATCTCGCCTCCCCCTCCTCCTCCTCCTTCTTCCTCTGCATCTGATGAATTCAGCGGATCTTCAGCACTAGACCAGCCATCATTTTCTTCAGATGCATCAAGAGAGTGAGATGTTTTAGCCCAACCTTGGGGAACAAACAGCCGCTGGTTAACTTTGAGCCACTGACTGGGAGAAATGTTCTTCCCACCGAAAAAGCTTTTAAGTGATCAACATAAACAGGAGAAAAACAGTTCATGGGGAAGTTATTACAGCCACTAGGTGAAATTCACAGCTGGCAAAAGTTGGCCCATTTCCAGAGTAAGTGGAGTTGTGGCAAGACACAGCAGTGAATTTGGCCCTTTGGATTTATGTAGAGGGAAACAGATGGAAAGAACGCAAATTCCCAACTAAAAAGAAGCTATTTCTCCCTTATGCAATGATGAACGATGGGTAGATACTCTTTTTCTTGGGAGGAGGTAGAAGACAGGAACGTACACTCTAGGGGAAGAGGATGAACACATGGGATTGTCACACAAAGCAACTTAACCAGCCTGCTAGAACAAGGGATGGCTGCACATAGCTTTGTTCAAACTGTTGAGCGCTTAGAGTTGTCAAGAAATTCAAACACAAGCTACTGGCACTCTGTACTTCACCTGACAAAGCAGTTTATTATTTAAGGGTGTTCAGGCACAAGGATTACTTAAACACCAAGATAATTCAGCATGCTAAGTCACTGCACCAAGCACCACAAGAACCATCTTCTGCCTGTCATTTATTGCCAAGTGTTCCTTTTTCTCTCTCAGGGTGAAGCATTTCATTTATTTAGAAGGCTGAATCATATCCAGAGTGCACAAAATCCTTTTCCAAATAAAACTACAGTAAGTTTTACTAGTGGGATGCTTTTCACTGAGGTCAGCAGCTGCTAATAAATGTGTCAAGCTTATAATGAAAAAAAAGTCATGATAAAAGACAAATAAACATTTGTAAGTAAGATTTTGGCTCAAGCCAAAGGGCAATAACAATGAAACTCAATGAAAAGAATGAAAGGAAGAACAGACCTCCCAACTTTTATGTAACTATTAGTTAAGTGGACAACACACCAGCATTTTTGCTCTTTGCTGCTTCTGAGGCATTTGTTGCATGGCTGGTCATACCAGTGTATTAGGAAAAAAACCTGAGCGTCGCCAGAGTAAAGCCAGAGCAATCTAAGAATCACAGAAAGAAAGCACACCCAGAGCACACCAGACTGGGACTTTTGCCTCGCCTGTGCTGCTGGATGATCTGCACACGGTTTGAAGTACTGACCTATTTGGCCCTGTCCAGGGTTAAGAATGAACTTTCATCTGTGAAGAAACTGAGCAAATTCCATGTAAATCTCCTTGGAACCTCACATCTTATTGTTGGCTCATGGGACAAAGCTGAAACCCTTTCCGTTATTTCCAAGTTAAGAACAATGCAACAAAAGAAAACTTGGTTTCTCCTAATTGTTCCAAGCTCTCATTAGAAAACACAACCAACGAGTTGCACAAAAGTAAAATCACAGTAATTGCTCTGCCTGCAGCATCATACTCACTGGCCTGCTCATCTGGAACATTTTGGGTAACAGCTCTTGCTTCTGAGCATATATTGTGCTGGTGTGGGTAAGAGCAGACCTGCCTGATCCTGCCATAGCAACAGCACTCCTACTCCTCATACAAGCTGGCACTCTGTTGTTAACAACTCCGTATAAAAGCCCGTCTCATCCTGGGGCAGGAGGGGAAGTAGTCACCATGGTCATATTCATATTAGCTAACTACAGGCACCAAAATTATGCATGCACATTCATAGAATCATAGAATCATAGAATCATCTAGGTTGGAAAAGACCTTTAAGATCATCCAGTCCAACCATTAACCTACACTACCAAGCCCACTCTAGACTAATCAAGGGTAGACCAGACTAAACCATATCCCGAAGTGCCACATCTACCCGTTTTTTAAACGCCTCCAGGGATGGTGACTCCACCACCTCTCTGGGCAGCCTGTTCCAATGCCTGACCACCCTTTCCGTAAAGAAATTTTTCCTAATTTCCAGTCTAAACCTCCCCTGGCGCAGCTTAAGCCCATTTCCTCTTGTCCTAATGTGCATGTGTTCAATGTGTTCAATGTGCATGTGCCTATTCTGCACGGTGTGACTAAATCAGAGCTCCCTATAAAGGCAGGAAATGTCAAAAAATGGCAGATGGTCTTGAGAAAAGGCAAAGTTATAGAGAAACAAGCTTAGATTTGATGGCGCCAGGAAAACCAAGAATTCATTAACCACTTCTCTTCAGAAATGGGGCCACAGGTTTATTCACAGAGGTAGGATCTATCTGCAAGATGGGATTCTGTCACCAATTCATTTTCCTTGAGCTCACTGCAAGGTAAGCTGGAGCGATGGAGCAACGAAAGGAAACGAGTGGGGGTAACGTGCTCTGCACCAAGGAGCTGTGACCATCACCTGGTGCATTTTCATCCTGAAATGCCAGGGTCAACTGCCTGCTTATCCCTATTTGAGTTGGGGAAGGAGAAGAGATAAAGTGTCAGAAAAAAGATCGGAAGGTGCAAGACAGAAAGGGGAGTTACTAGATGTTTTTAATTAATTTACTTGGTTTAGTGGTTTCATAAAGTGAGAGGCTGCTGGACAGGACAGCAAATCAGACAAGTCTGTTCTAAGGACCCAACGATTTTACTGTAAATTAGCAACAAGCGAGGACTCTCCACCCTGGAAAATTTCAGCATCTGTGGAAGAGGCCACACCTTTGCTTTCGGACAGCATTTTCAGGCCCTCAGGATTTCCATGGTACCTGGAGATCTCAGAGGTTTGACTGCTACCTGCAGAAAAAATTAACCTCATAACTCCCACATCCACACTTGTAGAGTTTCTGCATGTGTCTGGCCTGGGATTACACTGCCTGCTGTTCAGACAAGGTGAATGGTGTTGCATAGTTTCCCCAGCACAGCAGCTGAACCTGCACTGTTTCCACAGGTGAGACGAAGACAAAGGTTGTGGAAACCTGGAAAGGAGGATGATGGTAGGGCTTGAAACAGCTTCATCTTTAGAATAATATTTTCTAAAAGAGATGGTGGTGGAAAGAGAGTCAGGAAGAGGAGGACTGCTTTCCTTGTACTCTCTAGTTAATTAGCCCCAGAGATTTGTAACTCAAGCCTTCACCAACAGCCTTGCTGGTTTGAAATGGGCCATTTAACTGAAATGCTTTTTTATTCTTTGCTTAGCTGTGGGTTGGGAGGACAGGAGGCAAACTGCTACAAGGTGTTCAGTTAAATTATCTGGGGTTCACAGGGTGGTAAAAATTGCCTACTATCACCCAAAGAAAGATGCAGCAGGGTTGTGACTACAGTAATAAATGCAGATCTAAAATGGAAATTCCACATGACAGTGATGATCCCCACTCTGACTAGAGTACATGTGTTTCAGATTTCCACCCCTCCCTTTTTTTAAAAGTTAAATCCTCTCCACAAGGGGCATAGTGACAGGAGGATGCTAACTGGAAAACCAAGTATCTCACAGCAACTGGATGCCACTGTAGTTCCATTAAACATCCAGCTTCTGGTTATTTCTTCAACAGAACATCCCTTTCCCACTGCCTTCTCCCAAAAACTAGTAAAGCCATATGCTGCTTTATTCAATGCCAAGGTAAAACTTCAACCAGTTGCATTATCAAAACCAGTATACACAGAAGCTGACAGACCTACTTGGAAAAACTCAGCTGCTATCAATACCACTGCACACAACAGCATCATACAGGTATCCCCAGCGCTCTGATGTAACACATTATATGAGGGATGTGTGGATATCTGTGGAGTACAAGATGTGGTATCACTCTACCTCTTAAACCAAAAGGAGTTGGGTCACTCACTACTTCATGGCGTTTAGGTTTTTTGTCAGGACTGGTAGGAGAAGCTGCAGGAGGATGAATAGGCAAAAAACACAGAAGAGAGATATTGAAGAACTGGAAAAAAGAGAGTAAGTGGATTGCATACTAAATACCTTTGAGTTTACACTGGAAAACAAATGGATTTCTGTAATCACTCTAATTTTAGCCGCCATTGGTCAATTACAGCAGAAGGAATTATTTACATGTAGTTATTTGAAGATAAATTGACAAATTTATTTTACAGTAGTAGATGAAAGTATATGTAAACTTTTCCAAATGAACTAGACATCAATTGAATACAATTAATGTTTGTCTAAAATTGAAATTCCAAATTAAGCAATCATTTTTATATAAATCTAGTGCTACAGCAATACCTGGTCCTGTAAGAAGGATCATTGGCAATGTCTGGCTTTTAGCAGAAGGAGATGGAGTTTCTGTCAAGGCAAGCATGGGATATTAGTGCTCACCTCATTAGCATTAGATACACAACCCTAGACTCTCTCCAGAAAGAACTCAAAGGTAATCAGGTTTTAAAAAGGCATTCTGAAAAGATGCTGGGGCGGGGTGGGGGAATCATGCTCTTGAACAAGTGCCATTATCTTAATGCAATTCAGACTGTTCGAAGACAGCTGTTCAAAGCAAGAATTGAATGTACCAGTGTGATTACTTGGCAGAAGGAAGCAAGGAAGGGCTCAGATTTCTATCGCCTGTTTTAGCAAAAAAAGTAAAGACCGCTTCTGGATGCATAGGGAAATTCTTCTTTCTTTTTGTATCCAGCAAAACAACATTGTCATACTTATTCTGCTGTAGTTGTGCTTTGGGAGTTCTGTTATCAAGGATGCTAATATAGAAATATTCTAGAAAACCTTGATTCCTTTTTGCCAAGTACAGGTGCATTTGGGGCAGATCCACTGAAGCTAGAAGCAGGCCAGGTATCTGGTCTGAAGACAACTTCCTTCCTCTAGTTTTCCTACAGGAGAGAGGCACTACAAACTCATTCCTTGGCTGTGACAGTGAGACCAGAGGCATTGGAACCTGCACTCCTTCCCTTGCATCTCCAACAGCTCCACTTTTCCCAGGCGCAGCTCCTTCTGGAGCTGGTTTCTCTTGAAATCTCCCTGTCAGGGTCAGGGACTGAGGAACCTAGCTTGAACTTAGGAGAACAAGCTAGTGTATACACTGAAAACCTGTTACGCTACACATACACACACAAAGTGATGCTTCAATTACAGCCTTAGACAGAAAACAATCTAGCTTTTTTTTAAAAAAATTACCTTTCTGACTTTTGAGGTTAGTAAAGCCCTGCAACATAAAGCGCTTTTTTGACAGTACAGAGCACTCTGAGGTAGAGCTAGTGTCATCTACAAAGGAAGAGAGAGACACAAAGAAAGGGGAGAAGGCCATGAAGAGGTCAAGGCAGAAGATCATTTACAGCCCTGCCAGGGAACTGGCACGTTTGGATGAGAAAGGACAACTGAAAGTCCAGGTACAACAGAAGAACCTAAGTGGCCAGTTGTTCTTACAGTGCAGGGGCTTGTATTGCCACTGGTCTAGTAGATAATCTCTGTGACGGGAACCAAAATCAAAAAGAAAAATAATACTCTTCAGAACAGATAATGCCAAGAAATTTATGCAGAGGAAGAGAAACCTGACAAGCTGGGCAGCTCTAAAAGGAGACCTACTGAAGACTTGGGCCTCATAACCCACAGATCCCACCTCCTTTTGGCTACCCTTCGTTGAGGTGGCTTTGGGCCTGTCCACACCACACAGTGGAATGCAGAAACCCCCCAGCTAAGGGCAGATGTGACCAGCACGCTGCTGCAGCGTGGGCAGCGCTTTGTGGGTGGGCTGCCTTAGGGCTGAAAGTGGCACAGCCCTGCTTGTTCAGGTATAATGCTGCGTTTGCCTGTGCTACCATGGCTACTCTGCTGGTGGATCTGCCTGTGCATCTGCAGTGCAGGCATGCTCTTCACAATTAAAGGTAACAATACATACGTGTAAACTCACCTTTGCCTTTCTCGGGGTACTTTGGTGCTATTGTGGTGCCATAACCTTCTAAGCTTGTGAGATCAGCTTTTCTCTCCTCCATTTTTTTGGTGTTTCTGATGTGGTTCCGTGAAGGACTGTTTATTGGAAACAAATTAAGACAATCAATCCAGCTCCAGCAAATCTGGGTCTGAAACAGGGGTGATGACCTTTGGTCACGGGCTGCCTTTTACATACAGATTTATAGGCTGCAAACCATTTCTTAGCTATGTCCCAGATCATACCTTCCAGGATTGAAGAAATCATGGTGACTGTGCATAGAAAGACCATGAGCACACACAAAGGAGAAAGACTCCCCAAACTGACTACAACCACACGTACTATGGCAGTGCGAACTACTGAAAAGACAGCTCAGGACAACTTCCACTCACTCCCAGCTACAGGCACACATTCTGTGCTGACATTTCCTCCTGAACATACTAAGGAAAAAACAGGAACTGGAAAAAAAAAAAAAAAACAACACCTCTGCCCCTCGGAAGGTCTTCACACACGAACAGATGAGGGATAAACAAAGAACACAGGCTGGATCTTGCAGTTGGATTCCCACACACCTCTGATTGGGAATGCAATGGAGAAAGACATCCCACAAATACTATACATCTGGGAAATTCTTCCCGAGTGATAAGTAGATGCATAAAACATGCAGGGCAGACAGCCACTGATACATATTTGAGCACACACCATGTGGGAATGACTGAAGATATGAGCGCATGGCCTTATGCGCATATACACATATCACAAAAAAAAGAGTGAGTAGCAGAGGATTAAAAAGAGATGTCAGAGAGGGGCAGAATAGCACGCGGGAGCAGAAGAATATACAGGTTGGTAGGGTGAAGGACAAAAAATAGGAAGAGAAGAAAAGCTTGACTCAGAACTTGGGAGGAGGAATCAACAGGAATCAGAACTGGAGGAATCAACACATTGCTTAGTTTTTATTAAAAAAAAAAAATTGGAAGAAAAGAACAAGGGACAGAGAAAAGAGGTAATGCCCTGAAAAAGATAAAAGGAAGATAACATGACATTGGAAAAGGAAGGGGAAAAAAAATATCCAGGTGAAGGAAAAGAACAGAGAAGGAAGGGAAAAGGCTGCTCTACCTAACTCTCTTATCTGGTGTATAAAGTATATAATTAGCTGTTCAACAAACAGACCCATAATACCACCAGGATTTTGGGCTGGCACAGAAAACGACATTTCTGTGTTGTTCTCTATCAACTGGCAAAGCCCATGCCACCGCTACTCATTTTCTGGAGATGTATAAATCCCAAGCTTTACAGCTTTATAGTAGGAAGAGACCTAAAAAAAACCCCTAAAACATAAGGGCCAGTATTAAGGGACAGGGGTAATGAAGAACTGCAAACTAGATGTATTAGCATATTTACAAGACAGCCAGGCTGATTTGAGAACATACATACTTACCTTGTACAAGATGATGCTGGTAGAGGTAAACTCTGTGTTTGTTCTAGTGTCCTGTGCTGACTAGCTTCTGTAATGGAGGAAAGAAAAAAACCTATTAAAATTGATTTGTGTTTTGAGCTTTTCACTTCTACAGTCCTACACAGTGAAGATATACAGGGCAGGTTTTGAAGTTCAAAGAGAAAAGAGATTAAAAAAACATATATATGCAAAATATTTTACCTCTGCATGCCTGCAGTTGACTCGTCAGCACTTTTCTTATTTCATTTACCCAAGTAGCTTTAACTTCAGGGGTTGGTGCCTGCCCGAAAATAAATACAATCAGCCATCAAGCACAGAACACTTATTGCACAAAGAGCTGCATGCCAAAGTGCAGCCTTGGAGGAATCATTCAAGAGAGACAGAGCTCCCTCTCCAGTCCTTCAGTGAAGAGAAACTAGTTGTGACAACTGGAACATGCTGAGGCAGAGGCTGTGCACGTGCTACAGTCAAATCCCGGCTCCCAAGCCATCCACTACGCTGGTGAGAGCAATAGTAACGGTGTATACAATATCCCCCATGGATATTGTAAAACGTGGTTGATTTTTTTTCCCCAGAAGACTCTGCAATTGAAATATATTGTTTAAGAAACTACCTTATGAATTAATCTGGTGTGTTTTGGTTTGGTTTTTTTTCCCCTACATTTCCTCGTCACTGTCTATTAGTGATATAACAGAGGGAAAAAAAACCCCAGATCTTCTTAGGGTTAGACTTCACCCCGCCTCCCTTTCTCTCTCTTTTTTTAATTTTAATGGCATGTTGTTTACCTGTATGATGTAAACTTCTTCCCTTGCATTATACCAGATTTCAAACTTTTTTGCATCCCCTTTGACATTTTCTGTTATTCCAACTGCTGCCATCTGCAAGCAAAGAGAACAGAAGCTGACCTACCAAATTGCAATTAATGACAACAATGGAAGCAGGCGGCTACTGGTATTCTTTGGTACCCTATTTCTGAAAAGCAAAGCCACATTTGGCTTCTTGCTCAAGGAAAAGAATAACTAATAACACGTGATCTGCATGTTGGATGTAAGAGATTTAGTGCTTTATGTCAGCTTGGCTACCTCGGAGAGAAGAAAGGTTTAGGTACATTAAATTGAGACTGACCCACAGGATGTGTCTTTTAAAATCCAGACCACCAGATCTTACACCTATTTCATACTAACCTGCTCTACTCATTATTGCATTTTCTGTGTAATTAATGCAACTGCCATTCAGCTAGACTAGTATGGTTTGGATTTTCTCAAAGGATAATTTCCCCCTACCCTGACTCTCTAACAGACCGCGACACAGAGTGACGCAGACCTGCAGCACCAGTTAGGTTTGCCTGAAAGGGTTAAGTTCCCAATGCAAATCCATAACACAGCTTTGCTAACAAAAAACTAGAATATTGTATTGCTGCAGGCTAAGCCCTCAGTACCTTGACCTTACTGGACTGCTCAGTGTCTTACGTTTAAGGAGTGTTTGTAGCTGTAAGAAGGTGCTTTCTCATATCCCTCTCCGTTTTCTTCTCGCTTTTTACAGAACAGCACTGCTTTCTCATGGAGGAAGAGGTGTCGCTGCATTGGCTTGAAGCGTGCTAAATCTTTCACCTTCGAGTGACCCTTTTTATGATCAGTCCAGACATTGAAGGATCCCTGCATTAAAAGCTTGCCCAGATCATTTAGGTTTCCCTGGAACAAAAAAAGCAGTATTTCCAACTACAAAAAGATAACATCGGACTAAAATGCATACTCTAAGCAGGTCTTTACAAGTTCTGTCATTCCAAGTAATCTCTCACATCAGTGTTTATGTTGGGTTTGGAACTGTAATAAAAACAAAGTCAGTGTTGGATTTTTACACATAATTTGCTCTCTCCCCAACACTGTTCAGGCAGGATTTTACAGCCAAGAGTACCAGTAGCAGAGATACAGAGATCTACACATAGAGAGAGGAGGAGGCACAATAGACATATTTGGCTGTTTGGGCTTTTTTCCCCAAACTCTGCTCTAAAGCTGCTTACGTTGTGTTTTGTTTGTTTGGGTTGGGGTTTTTTTTTTTTTTTTAAACTGGAAGTTTTGGGTGTAGTTTTACACATAGATGTAAAAACTTAGTTGCAACTCCCATTTGGCAGTAGCCTAAACCAGACTCTTCCTGACGATTTTCAGTTTCTAACTCAGTGTCAAGTAGATCAAAGAAAGAAAACTTGGGTAGACGGAGTAAAATATTATTCATAGCAGGAAAACTTCAGGAGAGTATAGAGACATCCATTTTCCATTATTTTCATTACACAATTCAGTTTAAAAGGCACCTTTTGTAAAACGTTCTTCTCAATATTGTTAGTATACAGTACAGGGCATACTGTACAATATATCTAAGAAATAAATGAAAACAAATTAAAAAGTAAGTAAAAATACTGTTACTCACGTCATAGCCTGTAATGGCTATCTGGTGCATAGAATCATTAACTGCTTTGAGAATACCCAGTATAGAAGTTAATGCCTCCTGAAGATCTTCAGCACCTTCACAGTTCTTACTGTACTTCAGCATTTCCTGAGAAAGGAAGGAATGGCAACATACATACTTAGCTTTGGAAACAGCAGTAACTAGGAATGTTCAAATTTTAACACTTTCAAAGTTATCCAGTAAAGCTTTATACTATATAATCTAGTGGGTTAAATACTGGCTGGAACTCAGAAGACCCTAAAGGTTTACTTCTCCAACTCTGCTGCTCATTAGCCAAATACATTTCGTCCATCTAGAGGTTTTGTAAACTCTACCTAAGAATTTTACAAGACTAACTTTGCAAACATATTTTTCATCACAATTGCTAAACAAACAAAACACAAACAAAAAAGGGTATTATTTATTATTTTTACTTTTTAGAGGTGAACAAATGTAAAAACATAGGCAAATTTCATTTATTATTTGAATTATGGTGAGGCCTGGGATGCTAGTAACAGACTTAAACTGACTGCACTGAGCATTGTCTATACATTTAAAAAGGCATCCCTTCTCCAAAGGACTTATTGGTGAAGCTGCATGTTCCAATTTGATCCAGATAAACAAAACTGCAAGTTCACGTGGAACCTTGACAGTATGAGAATAAGCATTTACTCATGGACTGCAAGCAGTAAAGATACTTTAAATCACAAACCTTTCTAATACTCCTCTCCTTAGACAAGCTTAATATAATTAATTCTTTAAAAGCTGTTAACTTCAGCTCAGTTTTAACTCAAGAGTAAATTTGGTCCAAGGTAATTTTTTTATACTACTGTTAAATACAATTACTGAAACGTGTGTCTATGTAGGAAATATTTCTTAAAACAAGCCAGCTTCAAACATGGCAAAACATTGTACGTTAATTCGAAAAATTGTGATATTATATTGCTCATTTTGCTCTCTCAGTATAGCATGTTTAAGTGAATCACAACAGCATCCTTCCTAAAAACACCCTACAATGCTCAGTTAAGTACGTTTCCTAGAATGCATTTCCTAAAACTCAGCAAAGCAAACTCCTGCGATATGGATGAGGCGACTATAACTGATAAGTAACAACTACTTCAGATACTCTCTTTTCTTTGTTGCAAAGGCTTCCTACTCCTTCTGTTTCCCCTAATCAACTTTTCATTCTTCTGTTTGGCAGAAATATAAGGGCAAAAGCAATTGCACAAAGTGTCTCCGTGTAACATTTTCCTGTCTACTAGCAGCTTTTTGGCTGAAAGAGAAAAGAACTGAGCTGAAAGTTGATAAACTGGGATTTTTCTGTTTCGATTTATACATCTGTCCGCTAACTTTTAGGTTTCTCTCCAGCAGGATGAGAGAAGCAGCATTTAAAAAAACAAATGCACAAAATATACTTAGCGTTACAGTTTAGTAACACGTACCTTTAGCAATAATTGGTATTTGGTTATTCTTTGAACGGGTTTCAGCAAGTATGAGTCCAAACTGAGCTTGTGATCGAGTTTCCTTTGACATTCCTGTAATCAGTGTTGGATTTCATCAGTACACTAATCAGTATTTCTGTTATTTGTTCTTGAGATAAATGGTGAAGTTTTAAAAAAAAAAAAAAAACCCAAACCCAACCAAAACACACACACTCCCCTCAAATATATTGTAGACTCAAGCAAGCATACCTGGAAGAATACAGAATCTGAAAACTGCCTCCACAAACTTTCAGATCGAGGTTTATTTTGACAGTATTTTTCATAAATCTGGAAATCTTCCATCTGAAATTGGGGAGACAAGCAAAAAGTTAATAAATTCTTGTGACTTTAATAGACAAAGTTCGTAAGAATTTTTTTCATAATCAATAAGGCTAAGAAAAAACAACCACCACAAAAAAATGCAGTTCTTTGAGGCATCCCAAACAAAAAACAATTATTCAAAATCACTGATTTTGTAATGGCTACTAATTTTGTACTTGGAACATCAGAATAAAATGTTCCTGTTAATTTTTGCTTCAGCTGAATATTAAGCACCTTACAAAGCAGCATATATTATATTTACAAATATATTTATATTACAATATGAAAAATACTTCTGTGAATGCCCAACCATGAGTCCCTCTATGCAATTTATTTGAAAGTCTTTGCCCTTTTTTCTTTATACATTTTCATTTTATGAATGTGTTTTTCCCTGGGAGTTGCCCTAAGGTGGACCAAGCAGTTTGATGGCCCTTATAACTTCAGCAACTAAATAGCACGACTTCAGCACTTGTTGAAAGCAAAAGGAAATAAGACTGTTGAAAATGTCATAGTAACTATAAAGGAAAGACTAGATAGGAAATCAGCAGGCACAGAAGTACCTCTGTCCCTCAGTTTTAGGAAACAGCATCTCCATGGATGTAGCCAGTGAGTGGGAGGGGGAGGGATGGCTCCTTCCAGGAGTTTTAGAACATCAATAGGTAGCACCAACAGGACATTGGTTTCCGTAAACAGATTCCTGTTTAGCCTTTGGTATACTATGGGTGAGACTCATTGTTTCATAAATCCCAGATTAAAAAAAACTTTAATTCTGTCATAGCTTTCTATTTTCAGAATATTTTTTACTTACTCTGTTGAGGTGTACTCTTTAAAGAAAACAACAACAACAAATCCGGTAAAGAAATCTAACCAAGTAAACCAATCATTTATAGTGATGTGAAATAATGCAGTGCATGACTCCATGTTTTCCTAACTGCCACTTCAAGAAAGCAGTTCTCTTTCAACAAGGTAGTAGCTCTTTAACAAAATTAATTACCCCACACAGAGGAAAATATCTCCAATTCTCAATTAATATGTACATACTCAACCTGTTACCTGTTCAAGACAGATGGAAGGGGATGTGGTGGCAATTACTACATGAAAATCACTCTCACATGTTACAGGCTTAGAGGGGCTTATAAACGAAATGCTAGCAAAAGATGACACATACCTGATCCAGAAAGCACCGTCCTACTAGTTCTGGGTATTCTACATAGTTTTCTAGTTCTCTCAAGAATATTCTATGAGAAAGAAGATTTTCTTAGAGCACATGTTAAAAAAGTTGTAGTAAATGTTTACATTCTTGCAATTCCTTTTCTAAACTTCTGAAACAGAACTGTAATTCTGTACTACAAAACTAAACAAAACTCTTCTAGATCATGTACTTAAAAAGGGATAACAAATTAAAATAAACAAACATTCTGACCAATTTCTTTTAGCTTAATGTTGCTACAACTGAAATAAAATATGACATTGGGAAGGGAAGGGGGATTTTGTTTCCCTGCCTTATGTATTCAGCAGCAGGATTTGTACAGCTTAAAGTGTTTGGTTTTTCCTTCCAAATACTACCAAACACCAAAAAGCCAAGAAACGAACCAAACCCCACCTCTCCAAACCAAAAAAAAACCACAAAAAAAAAATGATCAGTGGCAAAACATCCAGTCTAGTTTTGCCTGAATAAGAACCAACTCTTTAATATGCTTAATTTCTCTTGAAAATACTTCTCTTTTCTACCAATTTAAATATTATCCTATGAAGAAATACCTCTCTAGCAGCAAGGATTCAAGATTCAGAGAGGGGTCACTCAAATGTAAAATTAACCAGCCTCAACCAGATGAAAGAGTTGAGAATTTGTGGTTTAGAATAATAATTTACTTTCCATAGCAAATTTCATAAAAAAAAAAAAAAAAAAAAAAAAAAAAAAGCAGCCCAAACAAACCTTGCTTTAATTAGCTTGTAACCAGATCCCAATACCTTTCTTCAGGAAGAGGACCACAGTGCAAAATTCTACCTGTGTACTGCAAACATTTGAATAAAGTTTCACACAGCTTTGCACATCTTTTATAGATATTTTGCTTTTCCTCTTCTATGCAATATGAATTTTGACATGCCAGATAGCCAAGTGGGACTCAGTAAGGATCTTGTAGCAATTTAAATCAGATTAAAAGAAAGACTAAAGAATCCCATCCAAATGCTATTTTTAGATCTGAATGCAAATCCTCACCTGTTGTGAAAGTGATAAATTTCTTCCATATTCCCAAACAAGATATCCTTCTTATTCTGGAGTTCTGGTGAAATGAGATGAGCCATTAAAGGATTGTCCATCTCTGCAGCATAACCCTACAACACAGGAGATAGGCACGCTGATTATTTCCCTGTACTTGCAGTACTTATCTCTCTCTGACAAGGCAGTCTGCCTGCAGGCTGACAGACAGCAAAGAGCTCAGTATTAATCATGAAAAAAGTATACAAATTCTGGTTTTCCATCAGTCCAGTAAGACACACCTATATATTAGAAAGACCCTTGAATAATTACCGCAATTTTAATTAAGCAAGGTTGAAACAAAGTTTGCAATCATTTCTACCAAGCAAAGGCTATACATTCCCATACTGCTTACAAATTATAGTTCATAGTTTTTCTGTCAAGACTTCACACATCTGAGTTGAAAGCCACAATTCCAGTAGACACGCAAACCTTCATGATAGTCTTAGCTATGGGGGAACAAGCCAACAGTAGTTATTTCTGCAGGTAGCAGAAACCATTAAGCTGCAAATGCTATCTTTAAGACATTTTCATTAGCTTTTGTACTGAAAGTTGTAACTTTAGATTCTGACATCTTCCATTTATCATATAAGGCCACATTCTCTTGTCATGTATCTGGTACAGATAAGGAAAAGAGAGCACACAGGTGGCTTTAGCTCAGGACTGTTCTTCTTTGGTCCCAAGGTCACTAATCTGCAATTAAGTGATCTCCTGAAACACTAAAAAAAAAAAAAAAAAAAAAAAAACCTACTAAAAAAAAAAATCAAAAACCACCACAAAACCAAATGCACACACCAAAACCAAACAACCCTCCCCAAAAATCCCAAACAAAACACCCCCAACCACTCAACCAGAAAAACTGCAAGAATGCTCTAGTACCTGTATTGTAAGTAGATTTCTTAAAGCAGATTTCTTAGTGTACAGGCACTGAAGATGATGAGACCTACTTTAGATTTGGATGAGATTTATCTTTTTTTTTTTTTTTTTTTTTAAAAAAAAAAACCACAATTATCACGGACAAAGTGGTCACTGCATTAGTGACATTGATTATAATAAATTGCTCTGAATTATAACAAACTGACAAATTAAATGAAAGGATAAGCAAAGGTGCACCTACAATCAAGATTTTCAAAGTGATGTCCAAACTACAAAAAGCAGAACTAGCTGGTAAAGTCAGCTAGCCTGAAGAATTCAAGCATTTGGATAGGACAGCGATTAGTTTTTTTTTTTTTAAATCAGAATCATTCCTTTAAAAATCTGGGTATTTTTTCCTCAAACACCACAAAAAAGAAAAAACAATGGTATAGGCAAAGATGCTGGAGCTCACAGATAGCTTTGATAGTGTTGATCCCTCTCCCATATTTCTCCCCCCAAATAAGGGGGGTAGAGGGGGGGGGGGGGGGGGGGAAGTGCTACAGCCTTAAAAAGATAAAAATCATTTACATAAAATGGAATTAAAAAAAATTATCAGGGAAAGAAGAACTGCAGCCACCATGCAGTTTAGATGCAGTGAAGAGATGCATGAAGAGAATGATTCATTTCCACTTGAAGTAAAGATGATGCTGAACATCGCAGTAAAGACAGCACTGGCATAACAAAGGGGTACCTAACCCAGCAGAGGTGAAAACAAACCTGACAGAGCTCAGTACTTTGGAATTCTGAAAGAACAAAAGGCATGAAATCCATACACTGACAAAAAGCTTTTTACTCACAACCCACCCCC